CCCACCCCCCACCCCCACCCACGGAGCTTGCATTGCTTGATAGGGTCGCCTCATGGTTGGGAGAGTTAGAGAACGCTTTCTCTGCCGTTTTTTTTCCAACAATTAGTTTTGTTATAATCTCTTCAGTTTTCATTTGTGTCGGCTCATGTGCTATTCGACGAATGGATTTGCAAAAAGGGCTATAATCGTTTGAGATCGAGACCAAAGCAGTGAACTCGGCAGGAAATTAAAAATCAATGTATTTTAGCTGGCTAGGTGAACAATATAACCAGGCTGAGGCGTTTCCAAAGTTGCAAGAAGTTGAGCTAAAACAAATGAATCGGCCAATTGCACCTAAAATCTAGGAAAACTCTATGAGATTGAAGAGAATGCTTATGAGATGGTAGAGGCAACACTGCTGCCAGTGAGTGATGGTCGTACAGGTGCTGTGGAGCATCTGATTGCTGTAGTTCCTATAGGCCTTGAATAATTCAGCATGGAGTGGGTGCTCAAACCCCTGCTCGGTTTGCAGTGTTTCACGAAGCTATGCGTAATGGTGTGTAAGTGACAGAAAAAAAGAAAGAGTGCTAAGGGACGATAGAAAATCGCTTATGATCGAATGTGCGCATAAAAGGGGCGGAGCCTGACATGGCGTGTGCGGAACAGTACATGCTCATTGAAATTAGTGATCCAAGTATATTCGTGAATATCTTTGGATCTACTCAGAAAGAAACTCGAAATCTAGGCTCGATTGAATTGCCAATATCTATTGATATGCGTCTGTTCCTTCTTCTTTTTTCTTCTTTTTTAGAGGGATATTCTTTTTTTCCCTCATTGTCAAGTCTTAATTAATTATTCTGCGAGTGCAGCGAACGCTTAGCTGTCTGTGAATTGTTGTACATGATCAATGAATTCGCTTAGTGATTGCTTTTTCATCAATGAACCAGTCAAACAACTGCACAAAGGAAACTTGCTTTGTTTAGGCTGATGTCGGGCACTCGGTCCCAAGCTCCTGGATCCAGTCGCATGCGGATCCGCAATTTTCCTGTTAGTTGATCTAATTATTTTTTTATCTCCTCACCTTTCTTCAAAAACGATGAAAATGTTCATTTAAGGCAGCCATGGACGAAAAATACGTCACTCAAGTTTGGGAAATGTTAAAGAAAGCCATTCAAGAGATTCAGAGGAAAAATAACTCTGGTCTGAGTTTTGAGGAGCTATACAGGAACGCATACACAATGGTGAGCATTATTAGGCTATCATGAAATCGGGAAAGGAATTCGTTATCACTCATTTTTATCATTATTTTATCATATATTTGGCTGATCGGGGGTTGCTATAGTTTTTTAAAGGTCAAGCCTTTGTTTTCTTGTACGCTTTACATTGCGCACTTTCCACACTTACACCACCTGTAATAAGCTTCTATTATTAACAGTGAAGATTCCACAGGCATACGATATTAAGTGACACACCGATGTTATTAAATGCTGATATTACATGATAATGACGGTGCTGATATTGACGATACACCTACGATATAAATTGCACACTATTTCAGGTGTTACATAAATATGGCGAAAGGTTGTACACAGGATTAAAGCAAGTTGTAGAAGATCATTTAAGGAATTATGTAAGCGAATTTAGAAGTCAAGCATTGAGTATCAGAAAATGGGCACAGTTCTTAACTTTTTTTTTAGGTTCGGGTTAAAATCGTGGAGTCATTGGATTCAGGAAACTTTTTGGAGGTCATTAATGAAGCATGGAGTGATCACACAACTGCTATGGTATTAAGCTTTTTCTTCATTAAATAAGAGGGCTCCCTATTCTATCAGTCTATTCTATGGCTATCTGTCTTATAATGTCTCTTGGTAGAATTTTTCTAACTTTACAGGTGATGATACGTGATATTTTGATGTATATGGATCGTGTATATGTAGAGCAAAACAAAGTTGAGCAAGTTTTTCACCTGGGATTGGCGATTTTTCGGTTTGTTTTCGAATCTTGGATAAGATGTAGTGGCGTCGATTATTGAAATAGTTTTCAGTGATCAGGTCCTTTATCAAGATTTTATACATCTCCATCTAAGAACGACGATGTTATCACTCATTCAACAAGAGCGACGTGGAGCAGTTGTGAATTGGTATGTTAGCCTTCTGTAATATTTCATGTCCAAAATTCCTGTTTTCAGGGGTGGCATTAAGAGTGCCTGTCAGATGTTAGTTGCCCTTGGTATCCACTCCCACGATGTTTACGTCGACGAATTCGAGACACCGTTCCTCGTGTCAACGGCAGAATATTATCGATGTTTGAGCATGTGCTTTTTAGGGTCAAACAGTGCCAGTCTGTATGTAAAGAAAGTGAGTTTCTTTCCGATCAGTCTTCTCATTTCAGCATTTCATTTGTTTTTTCTTTAATTTTTAATAACCTCTGTGTGGTAAGTTCCTTTATCTTTTTCTTTTATCTTTGAGTCATAAAATAGAACAGTAGTAGAGCAATAGCCATAGCAGATTTCTGTGAGGTTGGTATGTGACAGGGAAGAGTCTCTTTCGATATCCCCTGAGATTCACGACTCGTTAACACAAAACTCAGTACTTCCGTTTTTCCTGATTATAACTGGTAATTCCCTTGCTGGAAACCAGGACCAAATGAAGATCAAAAGTTATCTGCTTGCTAGCTGAAAATTACATTTGTTGGAGATTACGAGGTGAATGTTTAGGTCGAACAATGCATTCGCGAAGAATCAGAAAGGGCAAAGCGATATCTCGATCCTCAAACGGAGGGAAAAGTTCTTGATGTTAGCGTTTTCTCTGTTTTCTTTGCTTGCTTTACTGCTAATCTTGCTCCCTATAAAACTTTATTCTTTTTTGAGGTCTTGGAGAACGTCCTAATCAAGGAACACATGTATACAATTGTTAATATGGAGCATAGCGGTGTACACGCGATGTTGGGCAACGATGAAGTGAGTTACAAGTTCAATCAATTCATTGTCGAGCATGACATAAACAATCAAACATATAGCTTAAAAATTTTAGTTGTCTGATTAAAAGGTCATTTCATTAGAAGCATCTAATTTATTCATACGAGTTTTGCATGGGTAACTGTTCACGTGGGGGGGGGGGGGGGGGGGGGAATCATAACTCATTGACTTGTTGAGGAATTATGCCTCTTTTTGCTTATGCATGATTTGTAGTGACCACAGTTGGTTGCACGTCTTTGCGAAGCGGCGCTTCAATTAATAACATATCTTGCGTCTTTTACTATTTTACGGTCCCGCTGATCTCTCAGACGCTTCCCTTCCTACCGACAGCTATCTCAAGTTCTCATGGGTGACCCCGCATTGCCAAAGAAAACTGGCTACTTTCATGAGATTTCACTCTACGCTCTGTACGTTAACTGAGGGTAAAGATGAAAACTACTGTTTAGTTTGATCAATTGGCATCACTTTATGGTCTACTTCAACGAGTGGAGAATGGCTTAGCGGTCATGGCTGATGCAATGAGCAGGTAATCTTCTTTGATATAAGACGAAACAATGAGCAGTACAAGTCTGTTGAGTACCTCGTTGATCCACCTTTTACCTTAGGAATATTGCAAAAGCTCTAAGGGTTGCGAATTTAAAAAAAAGACGCAACCTTATTACACTTCTAGAGTAGGCCTCCTTATTAGTTGCCTATGCCAGTGTTGGCCGCGCGATTCTTAGCAAGATTGCTAGACAATATAAGTTTTCAGTGATTACCACCCTTGTTACAGGGAGTAGCAACTAAAAGTATCGATTTCAGTTATCTACGACAAACAGGTACTGCGACAGTCAGAGAGGACTGTGAGAGAACTCCTGTTGTGTTCATCGAAGTGAGTGTAGTTTGATTATGTTATAGATAGTATTGGATTGAAGGATATCATTTGAAAGCAGGGTAATGTTCAAGCGTCCATCGAAAAGGGTGAAGTGGATGTTTGTCTCTATTTTACGCCTAACCTTTATACACTTATTTTTCAGGATCTGTTGGAATTGAAGGAACGATTTGATGAATTCTTATTGATGTCTTTCCAACGCGATAAGATGTTTAAAAATAGAATCCAAACGGAATTCGAGACATTCATTAACCTGAACAAAAATAGTCCCGAGTATCTTTCGCTATACATGGATGAAAAACTTCGCAAGGGATTGAAATCGGTAGGTAGGAGTTTAGAAAGATGGTGGTGATAGTGTTGTTTTTACAGAGAGCTATGTTTAGGAGAACGACGAAAATGCCGAGAAACTATTAGATAAGGCTATGGTGCTGTTCCGTTTCTTGCAGGAAAAGGACGTCTTCGAAAAGTAATGATGTTTTACGTTCTCTATTGACCATTTTGATTGCCATATCTATTTTGTACATCATGCCTCAGCTCTTTCAAGAATTTCCCGATGAATCAATAAAGAAACGAGGTACAGGTCTTAATGGATGAAACAGGCCTCTGTAGAAATCTGATGGGTGACAGGCCGCTCTTCTAGTATTGTATTCCAGGTACTACAAGCAGCACATGGCGAGACGTCTTCTACTCGATAAAAGTATATCTGACGACATGGAAAGAATGATGATCAGCAAGCTCAAGGTAAGCGTACCAACTTTTAAAAGAGATGTTCGCCTTTGGTACTTATTAACAATAGATATTGCCGCAGAGGCTCTTCGGCATGCAGTTCTGATGTCGAAGTCCTTCTACAAGATTGTAAACTACAAGCGTTTATTATGCACTCCACATCATTACTTTGGGATATGGTAGAGAGAAGCGTGGGTGAGCGGACCTGCCTCGAATTCACAATTTCCTTTCTGCTAGACTCACCTGTGCCTACTTCAGTTGTTTAGTACATGAGGAGGGTGTCGTTGCTGGGCACTGAGAGGCTAGTAGAGCGGCTCATTTGAGAGTATATACAATCGGCTGGAATGTTGTGAGCCTTACCGGGTTACGACCATCGGGTTCGCAAATTAGGATGTCGATATATCATTGTTTTGAATTATAAGATGATTTTTTTTTNTTTTTTTTTCTTTTTGACAAAGATAGTCGAGAAGAGTTAGAAATTCGAAACGTTATGATACATACATGCCGTCAGGAGTCGTTCATGGATCCATTGTATCGTTGTAGTTTTTCTTTTCTTTTTGTTTATCATGACGTTGTTTACAATAAGGCTGATTTCTAGGCGGAATGTGGATGTCATTTTACGCTTAAGTTGGAGAATATGTTCCGTGACAAGGAATTATGGACAACGCAATCAAACGCTTTCAAGGAGTTTCGGGAATCGGTAACGTTAATATTCGTATTTTGTATGGTCTTTTTGGGGTGTGGCATCTAGTATTCTAGGTGGAGTGCCGCGCTGTTTCATAAAATTTTTTCTTATTTTTTCGAAGATCTCACCCAATTACCCTAGAATGTGAGTTAAGGGGAATGATCGGTTTCAATATTGTTTTACTCATGTCCCCTTCATGAATGAACAAGGAAGTCCGCGGCGGTACATCGATGCTGTGCCAGTACTATGCAGAATAGTGCATGGTTGAATGTTTCCTATGCTGTTTTCGGCTTTATTCTGATTGATAGTTTCTCCCTTGAGTTTTCTTGGGCAATGTATACCAGTTTTTGTTTCAGTATATACGAGGTGCTGGATTAATGGATATCTCTGTACGTGTATTGACGGCGGGCATATGGCCAACACAAAGTGTTCCAGTCTGCATACTTCCGCCAGCATGTGAAATTGCCTTCAATGTAATATTTTAGAGTTATTATTATTTAAAATTGAAATCGTTTCGACACGCTACTTATTTATTTCTGTTCAGATGTTCAGTAACTTTTACGTGAGTAAGCATAACGGTCGAAAACTTACTCTGAACACTATGTTGGGCACGGCTGACGTCAAAGCTGTGTTTTACGGAACTGCTTCACAGAAAAAGGTACGAATCATCTCTTTGAGTATGCCCGGTTGATTTCCTGTCAGTTTAGTATTGTATTCGTCATTCTAATGCATCTGCAACCAAGATTTCTCCAATGATTTGTTTACAGCCGGGAACCTCTGAATCGTCTGAAGTGCGTAAGGAAGAGAACAAAATTTTAATGGTTAATACTCATCAAATGGTCATACTCATGTGTTTCAATAGTCAACCACGCCTCACATTCCAAGCCCTTTTGGTAAGACTATCTGGTGTGTCTCTTTTGTTAATTCAAGATAGAAAATCGGTTCACATTATTCAGAACAACACAAATATAAATGAGAGAGAACTCAAACGAAATCTGCAATCACTTGCAATGGGGAAGCCAACTCAGAGAGTTTTGTGTCGAAAAGGAAAAGGAAAAGACATTGGTAAGGTTTTTCTATTACAAATGAATTATTGATTCTTGTGGGACTTTACATATTTTGGTGAGGGTGGTAGAGCCGCAATGTCTGTCTTTGTAGGATTGTCGAGGTGGATGATTGTTGACACTGTAGGGAATTACGCTCTTACGACCGTTGTCTTAGGCGGCGTGTAATCAAAACGTGGCGAAGTTGTTTATCCCAATGATTGATATACCTTGGCTTATCATTCTTGTCTCTCTGGAGGGCCGAGGGGTTGAAGGTGGCGAACAGATTTATTAGCATCATTTTCACTAGAAATATATAGAATAATAGGAAATATAAGTTCATTAGAGGTATGAGGGGAGCGATGTTCTCTAGTGACGTACGCCAGCAGTAAAATGTTTGTTTGGGGAACTGAGAAACCCCTGTATTTCGGAAATACCTCATTTTTCAATGGTTTTATCGCTCTTCCCGAAACTCCGGAAAGTTTTTGGGGGTCTTTCTTTCGTTTGGGAAAGATTTAAGCGTACTCTGGTGGATTTGATTGATTGATCCTCTAAACACGACGCACAAGTGATGTTTTTAGGTTTTCTTTCCGTTTTTTTTTNTTTTTTTTTGTTGGTAATTTACTCCTAACAATTTATAATCAGTACAAAGCATCGTTTCATTGCAGATGCAACGGATGAATTCTTTGTCAATGATAACTTTCAATCAAAATTAACTCGGATCAAAGTCCAGCTGGTAACATTCAAAGGGGAATGCGAACCAGAGAAGAAAGAAACCAGAAGCAAGGTAAAGTTATTTTGGGTTGTAGAGGTTAAGCTGCTTGGCCTCTGTGATACATGAGTTGCAAGGCTTTGAATCTCAGCCATAGCGGAATTTCGTAAAACAGAGTTGAGGCGGTAGAAACAATGGCATTTGATAGCGTGTACAAATCGGTGTCTTCATTTTTCGACATCCTTGATTCACATGGGGGACAAAGGGCTTATTGTTAGTCATAAGTTACATAATATATACGGTGGCGCTACCTCTTACCTCTAAAATTATTTGAGAAAGAAAATAGTGCTGAACTACGTGAGCATAGTTTGTAGACTAGCAGTGAATGACTTTTCAACAGCCCGTCAATTTTCTTAGTCGAGTAATCGAGGATCAAGCAATTTTTATGAAATAGCGTATTTTCAGGTAGAAGACGACAGAAAACACGAAATTGAAGCGGCCATTGTTCGTGTTATGAAATCAAGGAAAGTATTGCATCACAATAATCTAATCACAGAGGTAAATCGAGTTTGTTTAGATATTTCCTTTTTGTGGTTGATGAACTAGGCGGATCAGCCATTCTGCCGATTACCCATAGTCAGTTAGTTCATGGTGTTAAAAGTGAGTACATGAATGAGGTCGAGTGCCTGAGTAGGGATCCTCTTTAGTGATTAGTAATTCGTTTTGAGTGAAAAGGGTAAGTTCTCCAGAAATCATTTGGTAACACTCGTTGGTCCTCATTAACTTATGTCTTCGGGTCGCATTTTAATGATTTTTTCCAACTTTCATTTGTTGTTTACGCAACACGAATCTATTTTTAATTATTTAGAGTGGTATAGTCGGTAGTAAACTGGAAATTCATTGCCAATTGCAGGTCACGCAACAGTTGAAGCATCGTTTTCTCCCGAACCCAATTCTCATCAAGAAAAGGATAGAATCTTTGATTGAACGAGATTACTTAGCGAGAGATGCTCAAGATCTCAAATTGTACAACTACGTTGCGTAATATATGTTATGTAAATTGTCGTCCGGTGTGTACTCGCTTTACTGAAAAGTTCTATATATGCTCGAAGAAAGCATTTAACACTTAGCATGCACTTGGCATTTTGTGCCCAATCTCATCAAGCTGGGTGAGGATTTCTGCTATAGATTCGTTTAACTGAAATATTATCAGGAAAAGGAAAAGTATGGGGGTCACAGGGCCTTGGAGTTGTTTTTCAAGAAAATGAATACTAGATGTCCTAATCATAGATAAGAACAGTCTTTTCAGTGATACCATTCTTTTTCTAAAATTCTCGATAATTTCGGGGTATCAGTATTAGTTTTAGGCAGATAATGGAAGCGATGGTCTAGGAAAGCACAAAAATTGCGAGGAAAACGCAAAAATCGGCGTATTCCAAGAAATATGAGGCTTCAAAAAGTAGTAAAGTTAGGAGTTGGGCGAGATGGGGAAAAGTTGCATATTTGGACGAGCTGTTCAAATGCATGTACCATTGCGTATAGCCGGCTGTAGTAAACTGCTTGAATGCAGCATGTATGTCCCGATGCGAATGGTGCAACCTCTACGGCGCTGTGAGAACTCGTCCGCTTTTGGGTGTGTACGTCGGCTGTGCCAGTCCTGAAGCACTTATTACTTCCTCTCTGCGAAGTTTTGAATAGTCTAAAATCGGTGATTTGAGTGTTATCCCTATGAATCGTGCAGTTGGCACTCCAACTACCAGTTGTTTAAGAACATTGCAGTGGGAAGTAGGTGTGTAATTTTATTTTAGTGGCGTGAATTATTACTGTTGAGAATCATAAAAACTTTAGGGAGTCGCTTTATTGATTCCATGCTAAGGGACGAATTCCTGTACATATGTTCTCCCTAGTGCCTCCTCTTAGCTGTCTCGGACTCGTGCTTTTCCTCAAGTCGATCTTCTTCTGTACTATGTGAACTGATTGATTTGTCAATTTATTTATAGGAAGTAATTTTTATGATAAGTGAGTATTAGTAGAAATTAAGCACTAATATTAATGCCTAACCAATTATGGCTGCAGTTTCAATCGAACGCGAGATAATGGAAACACCTGCTCAGCACTCAGGCGCTTTCCTTACAGCTGCATTGCACCTGGACATGAACACACTTTAATGGATGTAATCAGTCGTGATAAGTGTGATGTTGACCAGCCTTGTTTTGGGGGACACAGACCCATTCAGTTCTTATGTTATATCATCCAGGACTGTTCCAGATAGATAGTAGCGCCCTCTTGGGTAACACCTGAAGCTGTCAGGGCTTACCCTCTGACCGGTGTCGAAGAGAAGAGGGTATCATTGCTGACATCAATAATGAAAGCCTATTTCTTTCACTGGTGGAATTGGGGAAGAAGTTGGTTACAAAAAGATCTATCCTTTGGGTATTGAAGGGTAAAGCCTTTTGCCTCAAGTATTTACGGCTTTTTGATTGCGCTGGGCATTCGACCTCCATCCAACATCGTGGCGGCTGTTGGGATTGGTGTGTGGCCTATACATTGGCTTGCGTGGCCAGCCGTTGTGCAAGTCAGTGCCTTTATACTCCCACGCAAGTCTGGTAACAACCATCGTGGTGGAGTTGTAGCTTGAAATACTCCTTGATAATAAAGCTTTGTAGTGCTCGCATCTCTATCCACTTTCCGGTTGGCAGAGAATTTAGAGGTCTCATTACCGTGAAAGCTGGTTCAAGCGAGGCTGCAAAAGCACAAAAACAGTAGGTAGGTCTCGGTGCCGTTGGAAGATTCACGGTCGCGAATTTTCGCGGCTTGGAGGTTTCGCAGTTTGCTACCGAATACTGAACTAACAGCCGATTCGGCCAAGCCTTCATCTCTCTACAACTTAGCTTGCAAGGCCTGATCGCAATCTTCAAGAAAAATAGGAGCTAAATGATGTCTGGGAGAGACTTAGGCGGCTGAAACCTCGTTCCCTCGTTCTTGCTGAAGATTTTCATGTTTAAGACATATATGCTCTTTTAGTCCAGTGTCGGTGCCCTTTTTTTACACCGAATGGCGTCTTTGAAGATCGAGCTACATATAACCAGAGGGTCTCTAGTCATCGCTATCACAACCTCATAAATACTCCGAAAGATGACTTAAAAACATGAAAATTGATATCTTAAATATCGTGGCAATGACGTTGCAAAGTACACCTCTCAAGGGCTTACTTAACACTTATCATCCGATTGCTTACAAAACGGTTGTACCCAAACCTTGAGGAGGCCATCTGGAAACACGAGATCTGTCGGCTTCCTGCACCGAATGAGGGGAGAAGTACTGAGTGGATTTCGGCCAGTGCAGGTTTGTCGACTTATTTCATTGATTCAAAGCAGGTGCAGCCTCTGAAAAGTCTTATCTATAGGGCACACAACCCGGAGGTGGTGTAGTGGCAAGTGGCGCACTATCTCATACGCACGGTCACGGGTTCAAATCCAGGATCAATATCCGCCTAGGCCAACCAAGCCTTCCATCCCACCGGGGCCGCTTATTTGGTACCAGATTCGTCTGGGAGGATAAAAACACTGACTTGTAAATCGGCTGGCCATCGCAGTCCATTGTATAGGCCACATAATCACTCATTACGCCATTATGATTCTGAATAGAAATCGAGTGCGGGGCGCATCCCTCAGACGGGATTGATTGGCGCCGAGAAAATTTTCAAAACTTCGACTTTACGTGTTTATCATGGATTCTGTTATGGGTAAGATTGTTGCCCACAAACCAAGAACCCGTTTTAAAGTTCCATGGGCAGTCTTGCGATTCCCTCATGGGTCGACATTCGCGTGAAAGTGGGAAGTATCACTGCTAATGGTGAAAGAGAAAAGGGCAACAGCAAAAAGATGTGCAAATATATGCAGCCAACAGAAAACAAAAAAAATGAACGAAAAAAAAGAAAACGTAGAACGTTGCAGGGAGTTAAAAGGGTAAGACGAAAAAAGGAAGGCAAATGTATAGACAAGGAAAGGGAAGCGCAAACGATCGCGCCTCTCAAAGTATCAACAAAGTTTGGTGGAAAAGCTTTAGAACTTCTCTCGGAGAACTGCTCGACTGTCACCGTAATCGGTTTGGAGGGGGGGGGG